GTTCTGTCGTTAGGTTTAAAGCTTAAATTTTCCTGCTGCAGTCACATTTGTGTTCCAATGTTGTAGAACACTGCAGTTTGCTTGTGTCTGTGTAAGAGTATGTGGTGATGGCTGTGTAGTGTGTATAATCGAGGGGTACATGCATGTCAGATACTGTTTGTTTTGTTACATGTCTGCGTGCAGAACTGATACTGGAGCTCAGTGCCGCAAAGAGTTCTGCATTCAAATCAGTGCTTCACAAAAAAAGAGCAAAGTTAAAAACTTTATATTTTCTCAAAGGGCTGCCTTTCTTGTGTAAATAGTATACATGAAATATAGATATGAATATATCCTCTAGTGCATTTGCCTGTAAATGTTTATCTGCACTGGGTCACTAATATGTGTGTGGATGCATCTAGTGTGATTCCTAAAGGTGAATTTCACCCATTTTTTCTGTACTTGTCTTCGCTTCGTCTTTAAAGCCATTAAAAATAATTCCTGTTTTCTAACTTCACATCCCTCTAAGGTCAGGTCATGCAGTTGCTAATCTTTATAACGGTTGATCTGGACTTCGGCTCTTCTTGTCCCCCTTTGGTCTGTCCACAATACTAACTGGTGCTATATTTAGGATTCAGGATTTAGCTGTTTGTCTGTTGCCTCATTAAATTCAGTCAATCATGTCTTCAACCCATTATTTCATTTGATTCTAGCAATTTGCTTTATGGGCATTTAAATGCACAAAATCGTAAATAGCCCTTACCATGCAATAACAATGAAAAGAAAGTAGTCCTAAAATGACAAACTAAATAAGCCTAGAGATTAGCCTCATGCTTTGTCCTTTGCAATTATATTTCCCCTTCCTTTACAGAAAACACATTTTGCTATTTGACACTTGTTAACCCATCACAGAAGCTACCACACACACCACATGTTGCCATGTTTTGATTGGTAGCTCAGGTTTAAGGTACTTAAACCTTAAGGCAAGTGCCAAACTTTTTTTAGTTTGTTTGTTTGTTTGCCCAGCATTAGTTGTATCAACTTCCCTTCCGTGCCTCAGTGGAAACGTTTTCTCCATTTTGTTGCTGACGTCTTATTCTTCCATGTTGTCATACGGATGTCAAAGATAAAGCACCAAGGGCTGCACAAGCCAACTCAGGCCAAGTTCCCCTGTCCTCAAAGAGAAATTCGAGTGCATCCCTGGGGGTGTGTGCGTTGACTGAGGGTGTCACTGTGCAGCCTCGGGCTCGCCAACACATCAAGCTGTGCACAGCAATAGCAAGGGGTTCTACGAGTAGGTTAGGTGTGGCGTGTCCTGCTGAGTCACCGTTCGTCTTCACGTCTAGTTTGAGTTGCTCTGCGCTGGCGTTTGCACATTACTGGAAACTTTAAACGAGCTCTGCATTGCACTTATCAAACTATTTGTTGTTCATGTATGTTATTTAAGCATTTAGATGATGCAATAAGACAACGGTTTTGTCTTTTGATTGAATGTTTTGTTTTGTCTCTTTAAAAAGCCAAGGCCTCTCATGTTGCTGTAACTGAACCCCCACACGTGTTGACTGGTAATCGTGGACGTCTAATGAATGCATCTAATGTAACCATTGACCTTGCTTCATCCTACTTTAGCATTTTCTGTGGTGTCAACTTGTTTGTTCGTGTATGGAATGTGTTTATTTAGGTCACTATTTATGAACTGGAACATTTCCACTGTTACCACACACAGGTCATTAAAACACTACATATATATATATAAAATTGTTTCTGCTTTGCACTTTTGTGTTAGATTAAATGACGCAATTTGCTTTGCAAATTGGTCAGCTTGTGACACTTTGTTTACCGTTTGCCTGCATAATTCTGAGTACTTTCATTTGAATTTATTGTACAATTAAGTTTGTAATCCTGCAAACGTCGTTTTATATTGAAATGACACGAGTTTTGTATTTATATTTTTTATGTTCTGTAACCAAATTTCTGTTTTCGTTCACGTAATCTGTGTTCACTTTAGCGCAGCACAAAGTCACGCAAATATAACAAAGAGCTGCTGCCATGACTCATCTAGTCGATTAACGTCTTTTGTTTATTGTACGCTAACTGCTACTAGAAAGTGTTTGAGAACATCTTTAAATGTGAATCTGCAAAAAGAAGGGAGTTTGTATGCATTTCTTTAAGGCCTAACTAATGTCATGTTTTTGCCACAACTCTCACCAAAGTGCTTGTACAAATGAAGCAGGTGGATGACCTAAACCTGGTTTGCATCTGGCTGCCCCTCTTCTGTTTGTGTCAAAGAAAATTCTTGTGAAACTGATGTCAGTGTTTAGCCAAAACAACCACTCTGCTTCTTTTACATTTCCCCATCGTGTGTCTGGACTAAAGTCAATGAGATCTGAATTTTATATCCTGTGGATTAATGCTGGAAATACAAGATAATATAAAAAAACCTGTAGCTTTTCACATTTTATCACTTTTGACTGAAGACATTTTATGTACATTTTTTTGTCAGTTTGTGTGGTGCAGTTGTACCCAGTTTAAAATAAAAGGCCTGTCTTAAAAGGTAACATCTGCTTCTCCACGTTTCTTTACGGCTTATCAACACCCACTGCTCAAGGTGACAATTTATTTTCAGCATCTCATTTTCTTCATAAAATATTCCTAAGATTAAAACTCTGGTGTGAAATGCAGCACGATATACAGGTGCTGGTCATAAAATTAGAATATCATGAAAAAGTTTATTTCAGTAATTCCATTCTAAAAGTGAAACGTATATTATATTCATTCATTACACACAGATTGATATACAGTACTTCAAACGTTTATTTATTTTAATGTTGATGATTATAACTGACAACTAATGAAAACCCCAAATTTAGTATCTCAGAAAATTTGAATATTAAGACCAATTAAAAAAAAAGATTTTTTAGAAATGTTGTCCAACTGAAAAGTATGAGCATGTGCAGCACTCAGTACTTAGTTGTTGCTCCTTTTGTCTGGATTACTGCAGCAATGCAGCGTGTCATGGAGTCGATCAGTCTGTGGCACTGCTCAGGTGTTATGAGAGCCCAGGTTGCTCTGATAGTGGCCTTCAGCTCTTCTGAATTGTTGGGTCTGGTGTATCACATCTTCCTCTTCACAATACTTCATAGATTTTCTATGGGGTTAAGGTCAGTTGAGTTTGTTGGCCAATTAAGAGCAGGGATACCAAGGTCCTTAAACCAGGTACTGGTCGATTTGGCACTGTGTGCAGGTGCCGAGTCCTGTTGGAAAATGAAATCTGCTTCTCCATAAAGTTGGTCAACAGCAGGAAGTGCTCTAAAACTTCCTGGTAGATGGCTGTGTTGACCTTGGACCTCAGAAAGCACAGTGGACCAACACCAGCTGATGACCTGCACCCCCCCCCCCCCAACCATCATTGACTGTGGAAACTTGACACTGGACCTCAAGCAATGTTGATTCTGTGCCTCCTCTCTTCCTCCAGATTCTAGGACTTTGATTTCCAAAGAAAATGCAAAATTTACTTTTATCAGAGAACATAACTTTTGGACCACTCAGCAGCAGTCCCAGGCAAGATGCTTCTGATGCTGTCTCCTGTTCAAGAGTGGCTTGACACAAGGAATGCGACAGCTGAAACCCATGTCTTGCATACGTCTGTGCGTGGTGGTTCTTGAAGCACTGACTCCAGCTACAGTCCTCTTTGTGAATCTCCCCTCATTTTGGAATGGGTTTTGTTTCACAATCCTCTCCAGGGTGTGGTTATCCCTATTGCTTGTACACTTTTTTCTACCACTTCGTTTCCTTCCCTTCACCTCTCTATTAATGTGCTTGAACACAGAGCTCTGTGAACAGCCAGCCTCTTTAGCAATGACCTTTTGTGTCTTGCCCTCCTTGTGCAAGGTGTCAATGGTCGTTGTTTGGACAACTGGCAAGTCAGCAGTCTTTCACATGATTGTGTAGCTTACAGAACTAGACTGAGACCATTTAAAGGCCTTTGCAGGTGTTTTAATTAGCTGATTAGTGTGTGGCACCAGGTGTCTTCAATATTGAACCTTTTCACAATGTTCTAATTTTCTGAGATACTGAATTTGGGGTTTTCATTAGTTGCCAGTTATAATCATCAACATTAAAGAAATAAACACTTGCAATATATCAGTCTGTGTTTAACAAGTTAAACAAGTTTCACTTTTTGAATGGAATTACTGAAATAAACTTTTCATGATATTCTAATTTTATGACCAGCACCTGTATGCATTCAAATCCTTAAAAATGGAATCCAGACGTGTTCAAAAAATATTTATTTTAAAAGATGGTGTCTGCAGAAAAGATTAATCTATGATTAACGCTCGACAAGACACTAGTCGAAGCTTTTGGCAGAGGCACCGTGTGAGAACAGGAATTCTTTTGAGGATTAGAGACTTTTACAAAATAAGACGGACACTGCGGTGGAAGTTGAGCTGTGGATATCAGCATAGACAAAAATCAAATGGCTTACGTTTAAGCATTCAAAATGAAAATATCTTCACACAGCCTTAAAAAAAAATCTTAAACTTAGTAATTTAACGTTCATACTTTGTTAAAAAAAAAAAAAGGCTTGAAACAAGCTTCAAGACATCACCCTCGTCTCTGATCCTGTTCTATATTTCCTTTAGATCACAGTGTAAATAAAGCACCAGATTGATTTTTAAAACAGGGCTGATATGCACAAATGTTGCTTAAAACAAATATACTTTTACTAGAAAAATGAGTTAAGACTCAAAACCGTCACATGGCTACTTGACCGTATATCCACCTTTTGTTTAGCAACCACCAGACCATTTATTACACTTTTAGCTTTACAACGAGACTGCATGATAAAACTACAAAACTGTTTTATTCATGAGATTGAATGATGATATTGTTCATGTACATCAATCCAGAACTATTATAGTTCATCGATTTCTTGGATTCCAAGCATGCCCCAAAATAAAAAGTAGTTTTCAGTGTTTACAAGCAGGGCATCAATTAATTATAAATAACAAACCAGGAAAATAAGCAAAAATGCCAATAATAGGAATTAGCTCTGAAAAAAGTAAGTCTGATGCATTCAATGCATTTTTTGGGCGTTTGGTGTGACTTCTGGTCCATCTGTGGCGAGCGTCATTTGTCTGATGCGCGGATGTAGACCAAGGAGGACAGCAGCAGGAGCTCCGGTGGTTTGTTTAGCAGGATCAGATTATCACTTCTCAGCCCATCATAGTGCATCCAGCAGCCATCTATCTGGAAGGCTGCAGAGTAATGATGCTCCTGCTTGTTGAAGAGTGTGGCGCCCTCTAGTAAATATCTGCAGAAAAAGGGCCTTCATAACCATTTTGTCCCCAAAATACTTTCTCTGTTTTGTTCTAAGCTCAAGGTTAACTGGGACTGTGTGGAATGACAGCTTTGGTAGCCGATTACCATGTTTATGTGTTGAAAAGGTTAGATTCAGGTCATGGAGTACAGTAGTAGACTAAAAACCACACCAAGGGGGCGTGGCCTACAGTAAAACCCACCCAAATACTAATTGACAGATTGGACCTCCAATAACAGGAAAAGAAAAATGAGCTTCAATCGTTAAAAGAAAGCTTAAATACATTTTAAAAGTATTATTAAATACATTTTACCTCATTTTTGTATGACCCTTTATGTCTTAATTATGAAAAGTAAATTTCATGTGCTTTTAAGGTCTTTGTGCTGCCTCCCCCATTGCCACACTTTATAATATATATATAGGTTGAATTAAATTTAAAAGTATTATTAAATACATTTTACCTCATTTTTGTATGACCCTTTATGTCTTAATTATGAAAAGTAAATTTCATGTGCTTTTAAGGTCTTTGTGCTGCCTCCCCCATTGCCACACTTTATAATATATATATAGGTTGAATTAAATTTAAAAGTATTATTAAATACATTTTACCTCATTTTTGTATGACCCT